AGCGATGATCAGCTGCCTACGATTGTTTGATATTCAAAAAGTAGTGTTGAGCAAATGTCGGAACATAGTGCTTAACACAAAATATGGAATAAGTATGCTTATAAAGCGTGGGAAACGCTTTAATGACATTCTAACGATGACGTGGTATCTTAAAGGTGCTGAACTTATCATTGTTAGTATTCACTTTTATGCCAAAAGCTATATCCTGAAGCTCTTGCGCACTAGATAGTTCAAGGTTGGAGAACCTATATTAATTATATAGTCGAGAGCTATGGCCAAATGCTCGTGTTGTTCGGCGTGGCTCAATGCGCAACTGATCCCACAGCCTCCTAACACTCTACGGCATTCAGTAACGAACGCTCCACAAAACGCCCCGCCTGGTTATCTGAATGTAAGAAGTGCTTGACGAAACGCACGATTAAGAAGCAAAAATAGCTGTGAAAACGGGTCAAATAAATTACCCTCAGATTCCACATATCAAAACGGCTTGAGTTGTGCAAGAAAGGACGGAAAACTCACTCGCTTTTTGGCAATGAAAAAATACTTTTTAAGCTCCTGTTTTTTCATTTGGACATCAAATAACAACAGAAGTAGCAATAACTTCACTTTCTTCGTTCATACTCATAACGGCAAAATAGTTTTCAATCGGGATTTTCGACATTCCACAGTGCTTTTCCGAAACTATGCAGTATAGTGTCAGAAGAGATAGAAAGATATTAGAAATAAAATAAGAAGAAAAAATAAGAACAAGAAATGAGAATAAGATTAAACCAAAGTCACTTAATTTTACTGAACTAACGAAATGAGTAGAAATTACCACAGTTACTATCAAGCACTATTTTCCAGCACATACCATTCTTATCTATGGAATTTCAGGATACTTGGAATGAACTTTTCAAAGGTGATAAAATCCGACGGTACATGGTGAGAACTTTTGTTTTACGGTGTCCACCACAAAGTACATATTTTATATAAGCAGACCGAATCATTGATACCTGCAGTGAGCTAGCGAAAAAGGGCACAACAATATGAAGAGGATTAATTTTCAAATATTGTCATTAACATAAGAACGACTGGAGCATTGGTTGGAGTGCCCTAGTATGCACACGTGATCTTTAGTTCGATTAGCGCTCAAGGCTAACCAAGCTTTCCTTTCCCACGGAGTCGGTGAATTGGAAAGAGAGGTCCACTCGACCAGGAAAATAAAAGCGCTGACTTGATACATCGGTAGGCCGGCGCGACTTATTGTAAAGGCCAGACATGCATTCAATAACCTCGAACGATGCATGATGCATCTCTCAGGGATTGATCAAACTCAAAAACTTACCCCTTATCTCTCCATCAAATCTTACACTAAGCCAAGAACTATCCACAGTGAAAGCAAGGTCTCAAAGATAACTACACAGATCCAAAGCCTGAATGAACATAACAGAAGAGTTTTTTTCTAAGCCTACAATAACACAAGCTTTCAGCAGCAAAAGGACTTCGCTAATCAGATTGCCGCGGATTGGATTGAGATGATATTAGAACAAATGTAAGATTCATAGGTTATTTTACGATCTTTATCTTTTCAGATAGCAGAAAGGTGACAGTAGAAGAGTCCAGGTAGTGCAGTGGTGAGCGCGCGCTCATGTAAAGGGCGATACAAGAGTTCAACTCCGTATAGAGATAAGTCTTGCATATCATTCAGTATTCTCATATACAGTCATGACAGCATAACATAGTTAGATAAGGGTCTCTTGTAAATCATATGAACTTTCCAATACTCAAAACGTTCAGTGAATCAACCCTTTCGGGACCGTGGGCCCACAGCCTCTGCATCTCTAACTGGCAACTCTGAACGGTCTGCTCCACTTCCTCTGCATCTCTAGTCCTCAGAGTGCTGCGTCTAACATTGACACTCTGGGGCTAGATATGCAGAGGAGGTGGGGCAGACCGTTCAGAGTTGTCAGATAGAGATGCAGAGGCCGTGGGCCCACGATCCTGAAGGGTTAAATAAGAGAAAAATTTCAATACTGTATTTGAAGCAGATTTGATGAAATTCCCTACAACTTAATCCCAGTCGCCTTCCAAAGCCATCAAATAAGATATATCTTGTATCGCAGAAGGGTGATAGCAGCTCAGGAGCCGCAGTAGTGGAGTTGTAAGCACGCGCTACGGAAAAGGATAAACGCGGATTCAATCAGAGGTTCAAGGTTTTACATACCACTCAGTCTGGATACAACGTCATCAGATATTTCACATCTGGAAGAGGATCCTTAGCAGATCAAAAAACAGCAACAGGCTTATTATACCAGCTAGAACCTCTGGTCTCTCTTCTAATTTGTTGGCTCATAAAAAACAACAAAGTTTCTTTATGCCCAATGATGTTGAGTGATGAGCAAAACTTCTTGCGCCAGGCGGGACTCGAACCCGTATTTCACCCTTTCCAAGGGTGCGCGCTCTAACCCGTTGCGCTATCGACGCCTTTGCCATCACTCTTTCTACGCGGAAGTTTTTTTTCCTTATTTTTTGGCAATAACAGAGCTACACTGGATCATTTACTACTAACTAATCTCGTAAATTAAAAAGCATTTCTCCTCCAAAAAGAAAAAAAAAACGGAGAGAAGTCGACGAAACTGATTCTGGACGTAGAACCAGATTTATGGCGACCTAAAGAAGCTGTATAGAAAATATGCCTTTCATAAAACTGTCAGGAAAATCAAAGTTATCAAATAAAGTATGATTTTTTATTCTCATTAGATTTTTACTCTCTTATTCTTCATTTTTTTGAATAAATGAATACAATAAGAAAAAAGCTAGAGGAATAGAAGATACAGAAGAATAAAGGGAATAGAATAAGAACACTGAGAAAGAGTATAATAAAAGTAAAAGCTTTCTTATTCTTATTTCAAAAATCTGAATAAGCAACCAATAATTAACTAATCAAAAACGCGCTCCATTGCTAATTAGTGCATACTAATCCAGATGGCAATTCGAAGAACACATACAAGGGACCGCCCACCTTTTCGTGGCGGGTCCTTGATCGATCGGATCTATCGATTTTATTGATTTCTTGGTTTGGGTTTGATTGTGTGGCAGATAAGCTCAGGATTTGCTCAAAGAACAAATGATTAGAATTGAAATATCAGCTTTTACTGAACCCCGTCGGTTTTTAAAATTTCACAGACTGCTCTTTTTCTACAGAAAGCGTACGCGACGTTGGACTTCGAGTGTTGTGGTACCGGATCGAACTAGTAACCTTCTTCCCGATGGACGGGTGCCTAGTGGCAGAGAGGAGTGGTACACACACAGTAGTGATTGCGACACTGTCAGAGTCGCAGAGGGGGGGTGGGGGATGGAGTGGAGCTGTTCCTATCCTGATGATAAGAGGGAGCCCTTGCCAGTTAGGCAAGCCCAGTTAGGTCCGTCGAAGTCAACCGGCTAAAATCAGATGGCTGATGTTTCGGCGCCTCAGCTTTTCACAGAGTCTGAACCAACCAAGTAACTCCATTAGTGTAAATTTGCCAATAACTCATTGTCTCTCTTTCCAGACGATGAGGGTTATTTTGGCCCTCATAATTTCAGAGGGTCTTTGTTGCTGGACAGAGAATTTTTCCGAGAATTTCAGTAGTGATTTGAAAGCCTGAATCTCGACGATTTCAACATTAGGGCTTGCTTCCTTGAAAGGCCTTCTTGGTTCGCTGTAGCAACAAAAGTAAGAATATGTTCACACTCGGAGCGCTCGTTTTCTGATTTTTGATGACCAAGCATAACTTCTTCCTTTCTATTCTTTTGTTTCGAGTGTTATCTTAAGAGCGCTCAAATTTCAATATGCCTGATAGTCGTTTTTTGAGCCATGCATGTGGTCTGTTAAAGACCAACTTACAGAGTCCGGACGATATTTGCGATTCGACACGAAACATGTTTGTTAAAACACGTACTCGACCCCATCCTCGGTAGTATAGTGGTTAGTATCCGCGCCTGTCACGTGCGAGACCCGGGTTCAATTCCCGGCCGGGGAGGATATTTTTAAATGCCGATAAAAGGATAAAGGATAAAGCTCTCGGCGTTTATCAATCCCTGAGAGATGTGCCATTCACTCGGCTTCAATTTTTAACTTCGTTTTGAATTGATTGAATGCATATCTGGCCTTTACAATAACTCGCGGTGGCCTCCCGCTGAACCGAGTCAGTGCTGCTTATCCTCCCAGACAAGTCTGAGACCTGTCTGGTACCAATTTACCGACCCCGGAGGGATGGATTGCTTGGTGAGCCATGAGCGCGAGATCGAACTACTGACCCCGTGTGCGACGCAGAGCACCTCCAACCACTGCGCCCACATGCGCTCTCTTTGAATGCCGATGTTCGAGCTGATCTCTTTCTCATTTCCTCTGTTAGAAGGTGCTTGTCATGAGACATATTATCCAGGCAAAGATTTTCATTTGATCTTCGGCGCTCCGTTGTGTGTCATTTGATTTGAGACATTACAGAGACAAATCTAGTCGATATTAGTATCAAGAAACTACCGAAATACTAATCAAATAACTTTATCCGAATAGACAATCGGCTAGGTTATACCAGAGCGCCGCGGTAACCAAACAACGACATCTGCATTGCTGACCACGTTTGTCCGTTACGATAGACCCTCCACGGATAAACCAGCACTGATATTAGGTCGTTCCTTAAGTTTTGGCACTACACCAATAAACACCAAACTTGTTAACCAGAAATAACCAAAATTGCATAATACTTCGAAATTATAGTATTTTCACTGCTTTTTCGCAGTGTTATGATGTTACTTATATAACTAAGAGAATTGAGTGGTGAACAAAAACACGGCCTCAGTCGGGAATCGATCCCACGTTTCATCCTATCCCGGGACGCGTGTTCTACCACTACACCACTGAGGCACATTTGCCCAACCAATCATTCTTCAACATCTCTATGTTAGCTATCAGCCACCAACCATCAACAGGTTTGGTCGGATATGAGTGGGTGAATGAGTGGTCGGGCAATTGTGCCTCAGTGGTGTAGTGGTAGAGCACGCGTCCCCGGATAGGATGAAACGTGGGTTCGATTTCCGCTTAGGCCGCGTCTTTGTTCACCACTCAGTTCTCTTAGTTATATAAAATTGCATAGTATTGGTATCGTTCATGCTAACATCTTAATATACAACCTACACATGCTTGCTTTATGATGGAGCTGTAATGCGGAACAAATTATCATGGCACTCATGAACGAATGACGTTTAAGGGAAAATGCTAAGTGGATTGAGGCGCAAGATAATGGAGCTTCCAGTGGACGACCTGAGCGCGACTGATCTTCCATAGTGTTCTCTCCAGCTTTAAACTTCGCGAAACCACTTCCTAGCCGTCCTTTCTGCTACCGTATCATCACCCGAACCGCCATTAATTTTGCTCCATTGCTAATTAGTGCATACTAATCCAGATGGCAATTCGAAGAACACATACAAGGGACCGCCCACCTTTTCGTGGCGGGTCCTTGATCGATCGGATCTATCGATTTTATTGATTTTCTGGTTTTGGTGTGATTATGTGGCAGATATGCTCAGAATTTACCGAAAAAAAAACAAAAGATTAGAATTGAAATAGCAGTTTTTACTGAACCCCGTCGGCTTTAATATTTCACAAACTGCCCTTTTCTACAGAAAGCGTACGCGAGATTGGACTTTGAATGTTGTGGTACGGGATCGAACTAGCAACCTTCTTCCCGATGGACGGGTGCCTAGTGGCAGAGAGGAGTGATACACACAAATTAGTGATTGCGACGCTGTCAGAGTCGGTCGCAGAGGGAGCGGGGGGGGGAGGAGGGATGGAGTGGAGCTGAGCTTATTCTGACGGTAAGAGCCCTTGCTAGTTAGAACAAGCCCAGTTTGGGTCCACCGAAGTCAATCGGCTAAAATCAAATGGCTGGTGATTCGGCCGCCTCCGCCTTTCACAGAGTCTGAAACCTATCAAGTAACTCCATTCGTGTCAATTTGCGAATGACTCATCGTTTCTCTTTCCAGACGATGAGGGTTATTTTGGCTGTCATAATTTCAGAGGGCCTTTTTTGCTGGAAAGAGGATTTTTCCGAGAATTTCAGTAGTGATTTGAAATCCTGAATCTCGACGATTTCAATACTAGGGCTTGCTTCCTTGAAAGGCCTTCTTGGTTCGCTGTAGCAACAAAAGTAAGAATATGGTTCACACTCGGAGCGCTCGTTTTCTGATTTTTGATGATCCAGCAAAACTTCTTCCTCTCTATTCTTTTGTTTCGAGTGTTATCTTGAGAGCGCTGCAAATTTCAATATGCCTGATGGTCGTTTTTTGAGCCATGCATGTGGTCTGTTGAAGACCAACTCACAGAGTCCGGACGATATTTGCGATACGACACGAAACGTGTTTGTCAAGCACGTGCACGACCCCATCCTCGGTAGTATAGTGGTTAGTATCCGCGCCTGTCACGTGCGAGACCCGGGTTCAATTCCCGGCCGGGGAGAATACTTTTGAATGCCGATGTTCGAGCTAATCTCCTTCTCATTTCCTCTGTTAGACGGTGCTTGTCATGAGACATGTTATCCAGGCAAAGATTGTCATTTGATCTTCGGCGCTCCGTTGGGTGTCCTTTGATTTGAGACATTACAGAGACAAATCTAGTCGATATTACTATCAAGAAACTACCGAAATACTAATCAGATAACTTTATCCGAATAGACAATCGGCTAGGTCATACCAGAGCGCCGCGGGAACCAAACAACGACATCTGTCTTGCTGACCTCGTTTATCCGTTACGATAGACCCTCCAGGGATAAACGAGCACTGATATTAGGTCGTTCCTTAAGTTTTGGCACTACACCAATAAACACCAAACTTGTTAACCAGAAATAACTAAAATTGCATAATACTTCGAAATTATAGTATTTTCACTGCTTTTTCGCAGTGTTATGATGTTACTTATATAACTAAGAGAATTGAGTGGTGAACAAAAACACGGCCTCAGTCGGGAATCGAACCCGCGTTTCATCCTATCCCGGGGACGCGTGTTCTACCACTACACCACTGAGGCACATCTGCCCAACCAATCATTCTTCAACATCTCTATGTTAGCTATCAGCCACCGACCATCAACAGGTTTGGTCGGATATGAGTGGGTGAATGAGTGGTCGGGCAATTGTGCCTCAGTGGTGTAGTGGTAGAGCACGCGTCCCCGGATAGGATGAAACGTGGGTTCGATTCCCGCCTTGAGGCCGCGTCTTTGTTCACCACTCAGTTCTCTTAGTTATATAAGTAACATCATAACACTGCGAAAAAGCAGTGGAAATACTATAATTTCGAAGTATTATATACAACAGTGGCTGTCAGCTTAACGGGATTGATAAAGCGAAATCGCATATCCGACCAAACCTGTTGATGGTTGGTGGCTGATAGCTAACATAGAGATGTTGAAGAATGAGTGGTCGGGCAAAATGTGCCTCGGTGGTGTAGTGTTAGAGCACGCGTCCCCGGATAGGATGAAACGTGGGTTCGATTTCCGCCTGAGGCCGTGTCTTTGTTCACCACTCAGTTCTCTTAGTTATATAAAATTGCATAGTTTTGGTATCGTTCATGCTAACATCTTAATATACAACCTACACATGCTTGCTTCATGATGGAGCTGTATTGGGAACAAATTCTCATGCTACTCATGAACGAATGGCGCGTAAGGGAAAATGCTAGGGATTGGTGGTGCGCAAGATTAATGGAGCTTCCTGTGGTCGGCCTGAGCGCGACTGATCTTCCAGAGTGTTCTCTCCAGCTTTAAACTTCGCGAAACCACTTCCTAGCCGTCCTTTCTGCAACCGTATCATCATCCGAAGCTCCGTTCATATTGCGCGCTGTTTCACTAGCTATTTCCCCAACGCGCCATTCGTGCATGAGTAGCGAACGAATTGTTCTGACGACAGCTCGGTATTGAAGAAAGCATAGACAAGCTGTTCATCAAAATCTCGCATGAAAATATGCAATGAGCGACACCAAAATCATGCAGTTTTAATGGCTTCTAATTGATAAAGTTGCTGCTTATTGCTCTGGTGCTAAAATTTATGGAACGACCTAAAAACTCACTGCACTATCTTTCTTAATAGTTCTCAATAGATGTATTCGATGATGTATTCAGCAAGATTTCTTTTTTTTAACCACGTTGAAGAGGTGGTATGTGTTACAACTATAAATCCAGTAGTGTTGAGTGGTATGCAAACGGGAAGCGAACTTGCATCTCACCCTTTGCGGGGCGCGTGTTAACCTTTTGCACACCGAGGTCTTGTTCTGCTAACAATCTTTCTGCGATACAAGGCATCGACCTGTCAGCAACCAGACTGTCAACGGTTTAGCTTGATAAGCACATATCGGCAACTGAGTAGGTGGTGCGATAGGTTAGCGTGCGCCCTCGGAAATGGTGAGATGCGCGTTCGGTTGACGTATTCGAATATTTTGGCCCTCTTGAAAACTTTCTTTAAACTAGGACACGTTTTCCGCATTACACTAATTTTGATCAATATCTAATAGGTTCTCGACGTTCGGTCAAAAACATCTATCATTCACTTTACTACAAATTATCCCAGTTCACATCAAATTTATTGATAGAGATTTTTTTAGGTATTATTTATTTCGCAGGACGCGTTATCACAATTTGCTCTGGCGATCCTAAAATTTTTCGAATTCTGTTTGTATAGTCGCATTTATTCTCCACAAAGGTCTTTGAACATTTCGCGATTCCTTTAGGTTTGTGCATATCTTACTACTGTGATGGTCTAGACTATTATCCTTGCATTACTGGAAAGTTGATGAGGAGATCGAGCCAACAACTTGCTTCTCACTATACACTCTGATATACCGTATCGCTCACTACGCTACTCCTTCATCTGACGATTAGAATAGGCACTAAAGTCATCAAGCTTTTCTTATCTTACCTCCACAGTAAATACGACTACTACGTAACAATGTCACAAAATGGTTTCCTAGAATATTTTAAGCGTTTCAAAGATCTGCTATGCTAGATATACATAGGTTTCGGCTTCTCGCACACCTCATCAGTAGCACATGCTCTACGACTCACCCCTAGTCCTAATAGCAGCGGCGCCGAAGATGCATCAGTCTAGATGAAGTGAAAATACTACTTCATGTTGTGATCCAGACGGATTTTCAGTCGATGGCTTACGGCTGTTGACGAAGCATATAACAATACCTTTCAATCGAGCACGTTTGAGGTCTTGCACAAAATTAGTGTGATATGGTTCGTTAACAGACGTAAACCATCGACTGAAATTGAGTCTACACTGCAGCATCAAGTGACATTTTCAAATCGTCTAGACTGATATATCTTCAACGCAGTCTATCTTAGTAGGATGGTTGAGCCGTAGCGCATGTGGTACTGATTAAGCGTGAGAGAGCGCCGAAACGTACGAATACCACTAGCATACAGGACCTCTGAAAGGCTTGATACATTCTATCAGAATATACTGAATTTTTGCGTAAAGTCTTGACTGTAATCATTGGAAGGCAGTATCACAAAATGGCTCAGAAGGGTTTCGACTGTGAATGCCAGTACCCAGATAGAGCAGTTTTCTCTCTAAGTGTGCTAGATTTTTCATTGTTCGGAGCCACAGGGTTGAAATGAAAATAATTTGCACTGACGTTTCGACATCATCGTCTTTAACAGAGCCAGTGATTTGAGTCGATTGTCCACAGTCCTTCGTCCTCGTTATTGTCTATGTCTTTGTTGTCGTCTTTGTCTTCGTTATCGTTCCAGTCGAATTTCTTTCGGTGAAAGCATCGCTCGAATGAAGAACCACAATTACCTCAATACCTCAGCAATCTTATCAAAATTTTCGAAGAATTTAGACGATCGTGAATGTGGAGCTACAGGAGAAATCTAATTTTACTATGATGACAATCTCTTCCTCCTGGATGGTTCACCACTTCATCGCGCCTGGGAGGTGTTCCAAGGTGTCGCATTGCGAAACACTGCGGGGATTCAACTCCCCAGCAATCTCCCTGAGCAGCAGTCCGACGTTTCCACTCGGAAAGCTTGGCTGTGAGAGTAAATCGTACCAGG